TACATATATATATATATATAATCATGAAGGAAACTGAGTAAACTCACAGGGTGTGCATGGCAGACGCGTGCCACATCTTCTGCAGATGCACCATATTCCATCGCGAGTGCAGCTTCGTTTATCAGCTCGCCGGCGGAGGGACCCAACAAGTGAACACCGAGAATGCGGTCAGTTTCTTTGTGCGCTATCACTTTGAACATGCCATCTGGTTCATCGTTGGTCTTGGCACGGGAATTAGCAGACATTGGGAACCTTCCAATTCTAAAATTAAACGGGAAATTTTCAAACCATACTACTTATTTAACAATGCATGTATATAGAACAGTTGATTCACAAAATTCGAGTACAAACAAAATAATAAAGGCCACTGAAGCAGAAACCACGAACACAAGGGTGAACAACAAAAATATCAATGAGTTTGGTTCGGTACTGTTTCCGTCAGTATCCAGATACAAGTATTTATCATCTTTGGCGCATCAGCCGATAAGTCTAGACAGCCCAACAAATGCCGATCTGATAGTGTTATCCTTTACGTTTCGCCCCTATGATCACCGTTCACCTAAGCGACGTTCCTTCCACCTATGACCTTGCGGGCCCATCCTCAGAACGTGTTTCAGCGGCCAAGTTTTTGCATTTTGATCCCTTGTTCCAATTCGATGTTATAGACATCACCAGAGATCAGTTGTGGTATTTCCACCTGCTATTACTGGAGGAAGCGACAGGTGCTCCGTATACAACGATGATCAAACCCCGACGGCCCTAGGAGCACTCATAAAAGTGCTGACCAGTTTTACAGCCGTGGAGAAGTATGGTTCGCACCAACGGGCTGTACTCATCCCTTCGACCGTATGCTGACATCCCGAGATCAGTTAATGCCATTCTTACCTTCGCGAAGTGAGGGGGCCACCTCTGATATCACGCCAGGAGAGGTTACGCCCAGGGTATGCAAAGCAACTCATGTGTTTATACGGGTCATTCACAACAGTGAGGTACGTGGTTAAGGGCCAGTACTGCACGGGAAATTTGCAGTTGGCTGGCAAGGAGTACATGGTTATACCCATCGAGTTCCAACGTCGGAATTTCGATTCACATTAATGTCATCCTGAAGACGTCACCTCGAGGGTAGATCCACCCCACAATTGTCGACTCGCGGAAGATATGTACTTATAGTATCGCAGATTACAGAGTCAAACAGGGACGGTGAAATCCAACGGTGAGTCGGAAGGTCGATGGCAGCTGGCTGCATTTTTGCACAGACCCTGATGTCTTGGTGTGTATTGTCATCATGTTCTTCACAAATTTGGCCGGCATGACATCCCGAGTGAAAAACCTCACCCTATCAACCGTATCAAAAGTAGCACAAACGTCGGGGAAAGAAACAACCGGGGGGCTGTTGGTACAAAGGTTTGTGCTCCAAGATTTGCCTACTCGGCCGCGTGCCCCTCGGAAACCACCCTGTTCTTCGCGATAGGTCAGCTCCCACGCCGCAGTTAGTGAGATGAGAAATGTTTGGCGAAGTACTAAACAGTCAAAATGGTGGTTTTTGGTATGATTGTTCAGAAGATAATTACGGATGAAGTTAGGTGATATCGTTGTACACAACAGCAACCGGTTTCTTAATAAAAAAGAACATGCTCAAGCATCCATGCACAAAGTGTACTCCAAACCACATCTTAACGTAATTTACTATTATCATTCATTTTTGAAGAGCATGGTCACAAACATAAAAAAGTGAATGCAAGCGATGAATGCGAAAGTGACAAGAGAATATGGGAGAAAAGAGAGAGAGAGAAATTATGCCCAGAACAGTTCCAGTCTGATGAGGGGAATCCCAAAGTATGTAAAGATTTTGGTATGGAAACACGCGTCTAAAGGCCAACAACCGAAGAAAGGACAAACAATGTGGAACGCTCTTCAAGGTGCGGTAGGCGCTAGCAAAAGGTTTATCTCGAAAAGTTTGTGCTCATAAATCGTAACACCCTGTGAAAGCTTCCGTTTCGGAATTGATTGAAGTGGATGCGATGTGAAGTCAGACGCCTTACGTTACACCTTTAGTGAAGCGCTTATCACCACCCACAGGCAATCAGAAAAGAACACACAATGTCTGTGAGTGTTTCCGCAGGCAATGCATCATGTCTGTGTTTGTAGTAGTCTCAACTGTCTCAACCTCTAACCAACAGCACGAAAAAGGTTAAAAAATAAAAGCTTACAGAACTTACTTCATTGGTAGACCTTCCTCCTTGCACTGCTCTTCTGAACGACCAACCCATGCACATTCAGGATGAGTGTAGATAACACTTGGGACACAGTTATAGTCCATGTGGACCGCACCACCTTTCATGCCTTCTACACAGATTATGCCTTCGTCCTCAGCTTTATGTGCTAGCATTGGACCAGGGATGCAATCTCCAATGGCATACACGCTGCAGAAAAATAATTATTCTTGTGTAGTTGTAAGAAAACTACAGAAAAAAAACATTCAAGTCCACGATGCAACTGCCGAAAGAACCAGACAAAGTCAATTCAGCAATTGTCTACAAAAATGCGACAGTTGCGACTAACCATAATCTCATATACCGGTTTAAAGGTTGGTTGGAATGCGAGTTGTTTAAGAAAACCACAAGGCACCGAGGAGCACATGGGCAGGGTAGAATACGAAATTATTATGGTGGAGCCATACGGCTTCAGTAAGGTCAACCTCCAACAAGAAGAATGGATCAGTTACAGATGGAGCTCGGTCAACTATCAGAAACCATTTGTACCAGCACTTCAGGGAACAGAACCAACGAGATGGTGCGCTACGACTTCATACTTACGCTACATCGATCCCGATGTCATTAAAAGTGCACCCGGGCTCAGCGATGGTTCGATGAGTGCACTATAGTCAGGTAAAAACCATTTGAGGCATACGTCACAGCAGGTAGGACAGTTTGCCTCCTAGATGCTATTGTCTTCGCATGATTAACCGACGACAGCTGGCATAGGTAGTGGATTATTCGGAGAGCAAACAGAACCGACAGTGGCACAGCCGGTGTAGAACGAAGCTCGCCAGTTTTCCGATGGTATTGGATACCCTTTACCACCGCTACCAGTTACATGGCCTAGTACGACGAAATCGCCATGCAAGTTGTATGGTCTAGAGGGTACACACAAGAATCAGTATTTTCCGTTCATTTGGAGTCCTGGAGTCGCATATTGTAGAACTTTTTGCTTTCTCCTAAGGGACTTCTAAAGGAAGCCCTTTAAATTGGAAAGAGTTTGACTGCTTACCACCTTATCCGAGACTGTTACTGTACTGAGGACCGAAAATCAGACATTTCAACTGTGACATCTAGTTGCCATGCCACCTAGAAGAAACACGACGACTGTGAAACGCGAAGGCCACTCATAGCTCCAGCAAACGGACTCCAACAATATACCAAAGCCGCCAATTTAAGTTGTGTATGCTCAGGAAGCACCTGACCACTGAGTTTCGGGGTGGAACGGTGTTCTTTTGAGCATTTTATTTAGGAGGAGAGTATCAATCCGAACACGTGGTCCTCAAGTGTCAGATCTTCAAATCCTCCGACTACAACAAGGTGAAAAGACGTGACCACTGAGTGATGAACCTAAGAGGGACTCATTGTGAACGAAGGGAAAGGGTTCTAATGAAAATTAAACACAGACATTCAAGGTGCATCTGCCTCAAACAAGAATAAAAATTTGATTAACCGACAAAAGCAGCAGTATTAACTATCGATCAGTAACTATATCCTTTCGTGCATCCCATCAAGCCGCATGCTGCTCGATCGTCAGTCAATTTGAGCCCATCATGAAAACAACACCTACAGGGGGATCGAACAACTAAAGCCGGTTTGCTCCAAGGAAAGAAACAGTAGCTGAGTAGAACGACGGCTCAGCTACCGTGGCGGGCTTGTGGTGCTGAATACACGCTGCAAAGGATGTACCCGTTAACTAAGGAAAAATTTATCAGAATGTTGGAAGTGCCAAGGTCCCTAGTGCAGACTAACAAGAATAGCTGAACTGAAGGACTGCTTCATACGGCGGCAGTGTAAATACACATTAAACGACTGTTCACAAGAGTAAAACGCGACTATGAATGGGTTACGTGGAGCCAAATGTTGTTAGTAGTGTGACGAGATCTGGAAACCTCTGATAGATAATTCATCCTGTAAGGGAAGACGATCCATGCCTAAAAACACTGTACGACTGTTTCATCCTGATTGGGGCCAGAAAGCGATACGTATACCACGAAACTCTGGAGAGCTCAGTCGCTCAAGGAAAAAGTCAATACACGACCATGTGATGTGTACTACGTGATTAAATGACGAGTGGTGCTACCTCCTGTCTAAACGCGGGTTAATCAGCTGTTCGTGGAGGCCGCGGGTTCGAAACCCTGTAGTTTCATTAGATTCGCACTGTTGATGATGTCCAATAAGTGTGAAATAGCGGTACAGTGTTTCTGGGGTTCTCAGCACAGGTTGGCCTCACTTACAGGACGAAATTTCCATTGAAAATTCTGTGGCCCGCCGTTCGGAATTACAGTCGGGTCCAGATATCTCAAGGCGGTCATTGATTCAATGGATTCATCGGCGGGGCATGCTCCATTTTGCTGGTGGTGATTTTTAGCGCGATGAAACTCGTACAAAAATTGGCGCGGTCGAAAGATGGTTGGAGGCCTGTAGGATTTTGTCGCCTTAGAATTATACGGGCGTATGCAAGATCTGCAAGTGAGGTGTGTGGATTTAGATGATCGCCTGATAAATCGCTCTTTAGAGCACAGGTGGTAACAGACAGATCTAACCCATTCTGACTGGGCTGGAGAAAGGCTTTTACTTCTCCCATGTTCGTGGATCCGTCCTAGAGCTGATGAATGGTAAGAGAGCACAGATTGTTTCTCAAGATAGAGTGAGATACGTTTCATAGACCAAAAAAGGCTTACTTCGGCCATTGATCCCTTACAGTGTGATAGCTAAAGGCGAAAACCCATAACTGTGGCCTCCGGGGATTCCTTTAAGACAACCCCAAACAAGAATGCCGCCTGGTAATGCCACATCATGCGTATCCTGTTGATACGCTCTATCTAAATATATTTCTTCACCCAATAGGGAACGTATTTGGCAAACAAAAATGCAACATTTTTAAACTTGGTCTTCAGTAACGACGATGATAGGGGTAGGCTTGTGCGTCTTATGTTTTACAGCGCTACCACTGTGTTTGAAACGTTCCGAGCATGAGTCTAATCATACGGACGGCCATATTGTCATGAAAACATTAGCAAGAGTCGTGGAGTTTTCTATAAAAAAGCTGCCCCTCCCAAAAGAAGCGCCTTGAAAATACAACTTGGGCTGTCAAGAACCACGCAAGTCACCAACAACACGTACGAACAGGACAGTAGTTCGGAAGCATGAAGTTAGTGCTTACCAAGAAAAAAGCAGTATGTGGTTGACACAGACCACAACCCTTTATATAAAACGGGCAGTTATGACGTGCGATCAAACTATAAAACAACAGCTTGGGATGTAACAGGTAATCCATAAGAACGAATTACCATTCTGGTGAATCAATTTATCTAGTCCCCAGTAGTGAGACTGGCTGAAAATGTCAACAGCTAGTTACATAGAGTTCTATACATGAATAGTGATTGTTCGAGAACTACACTAACCTTGGAACGGACGTCTGGAAATGCTTGTTTACAGGGATGCGACCCCTATCGTCCAACTTGATTCCCACTTTGTCGAGGTTCAGTCCCGTCGTATAAGGTCGTCGTCCGATACAAATGAGCAGGGTATCACACTCAAGCTGTACACCACAAAATATGGGAAATTAATGCAGTTACTTCACCAAATTACCTGTAACAAAACTACTCATGGAACTGGGGATCATGTATGTATCGGAATACCGTACCGCTTGATCAACTACGCAAATAGGGGAAACGATGGAGGACGCAAGCAAGTAGAGTGAATCGGTCGCTTCTTACCCAGCTGAATAAATATCAGTTTAACGCTAGTTTAAGAGCTAGTAATTGAAAGCGGTGTGTGCCATAAGCCTGGCTACACTACGCCTTATCGTGATGTAATAGTTTGTGCCTTCGTGACTCCTTAGGATATATTGTGAGACACCTTTGCGACACTAAGAGTTTCTCACACCAGGTTGTGTGTGTTGGTCCTAACCAACACACTTTCCTTGTCCTCCAGGTTCGGGGTTGGAAAATGTGATGCACTGGCATTTCGCGCCGAACATCACTGCTGTGCGGTCGGGATTTTGAGCTAATGGTTTTGGTTCAGGATCCTAATCACCATATGCCTGGGCGTCCTGGCAGTATCTCAGCTATAATTCCTGCAACATAGGTCGTCGCGTGGCATCAACAGCTGCCACAGCAAGGTGCATTAACGGAAACAGGCTATGTTTCCGTTCTTCCTCTCTCACAGTTTCCCCTCTCCTTCACCACCATATTATCAACACTCTCCTTACACACCCACCCGTTAAGACTGGCGACTATTCGCCTTGCGACGGTCCCGGCTGTAACATCTGCCAGTCAGCCGGCGCTCACGTCCGCAGGCATCTCAAGTCCCGGCGCCCGGTCTATCGGGTTGCTTTTACTTTTTGCACTCTGAATCAAGCAGGACAGCAAACCGCTCTTGCTCTGACACTGGACTTGCTTGACGTGTGCTGTCCATCAGAAACAAGAAGTCAAGATCTAAGCACAGTCATCGAGCTAAATACCCCCATCACTCTCCATTCGCTCCCGGCTGTGGACCTATGTCAAACCACGGGCCGCTGCAGCAGGATGTGCAGTCGTCATCATCGTCCTAAGTCAATGAAAAATGAGTTTCTTGCTTAACTGGATACTCGTTGATAGTCGCATTCGTAAAGTTCCTCTAACAACGTCCTTGAGGGAGTGTCTGTTTATCGTATCTGCTTGAGCCTCACCGACTGCGATTCTGACAGCATCAAATACAATTCTAATGACGCCCTGTTACGACAGCCTAAAAGCTTATATTGTTGTGGTTACCAGAGTTTTGAATTCGAAAACCGTGAGAATTAGGGTATCCAAGACTTAATTGGGCAGTCGACTTCAACTGGACTCCGTTAGTATAGAAAACGAAGAATGATTGCTTCAGCTGTGTGCTGATCACAAAATATTTTCACGCAACACTAAATTCCGGAGCAACCGAACACATCTGGCTGTATGTCTTCTAACAGCGTGCCAGCCACAGACCCAAAGTGATCAAATCATCATCGATGGTGCGAATCAATAACTGACTGCCAGTCCTTCTAACCACGCAGTCATTCGAAGTCGCTTTGCTCTTCGCTTTCCAAGACCGTGTAAGCGTTGGGCAACTCGCACAGCATCTGGGAAATTGGTAGGTCCAAAAGTTAACCGAATTTGTCAGAGGTTTCTTTTTGACCCTTCCAAATGCTCCATCAATGGACGTCAACTCGTAGTGGAACGAAGTAGAAACATCCTTATATAAAGCTGTGGAACGGCGCTACAAGGTCCACTCAAGCACTAGATATCATATATCGCTCGGCTGTAACANCTTTCGGTCCGAGCAGAGATGCCCCCCGAAATAAGCACGACGGCTGGGACGCTGTCAGGTTTCCCAAGTCTAGACAGGAGAAGTCGGGATGTAAAGGTCGGGTTCGAATCACAGACATTTCGGCTAGTAAATTCGTGCTCACCATCAGATCTCCCCTCAGATCGGAGAGAACAGCACCACTTGAAGCTCGGAGAAATGTTTCCTCTGGTGCCGAACTTGATTCGACCGGACGAACTGACAGACATCAAGTGGAGCTTGGCGTGCGCGAAGACTATGAAGCCTGAAGGACACGGGAGGCTAAGGAAACAGAAGCTGTCGAGTGTGATCAGTGTCAGCATTCCTGAAATCCGCTCATCCTTTCATAAGAATTCGATGTCCACCACTGCTTGCTCACAATAACTGTTTCATTTCCTTGGTTGTAAACCGCGAGTCGACGGCACATTGATCCGAGCAACTACAGCTTCGTTCAACGATAGAAATCAGGGGAGCAACTGACAAGAACAGCACCCCCGACGAGAAATTATTCAGGAGATCCAAAATGGTTACCCGATGGAGACTCCGCCCCGAAACCCAATAAGACTGGTATAATCAACGGAACTGCGTCCGGGTGCTTTGAGTAGTTTATTTGTGATGGCATATTTCATCTCAAAAGGACAAAAGGTGCTAGATATTCAGTAGTCTTGCATATTATAAACTTCTATATTAAGCACCAGTTCGTCATAGGAACAATTAGGAACAGGTTAATTCTATGCCACTACGCACACATAAGAAACAAAAAACACTGTGACTAAAGATGAAGATTCATCCCGGAGAAATAGGACAAATACTGAAAACCCAATCCCTATCGAATTTTCATTCATCGATTAATCTGATGTTCTAGTTCAAGCCGTAGTGCAGCTGGGACACATGTCTAAAAACGTTTTGGTGAAGGCCAGTAGTGCAAAGGCTGACTACACCATGAGCGTGGAATAGTTTTACTGTTATTCGTGCCAGGAACTCAACAGAAAATCCAGAATGTTGAACGGTTACTGATAATACATGATAAAAGGTGTTAACTCACTGAGCTCGTTTTGCCGTCTTTCACGCCCTCAACAGTAACAGTGACACTGTTACCGGACTTTGAAGCTGCCGTGACCTTGGTGTTCAGCATGAAGGTGAGACCCTGTTTCGTTAAAATACGTTGGAATGACTTGCTAACTTCCATGTCGATACCCAGGCCACCGACATGGCCTAGGAATTCTACGCACGTAACCTGGAAAAGGACCGAATAGCAGAGGTAAAGGAAACAATTAACTACAGAGCATCAGCGATTAACAGCAAAATGGCTACTCAGTTCTGCAGGAGCCAAACTGGTCTTTCCTCTGGAGAAGTTTCTTACGGGGGAGGCTCTGACGCTGAAATATCCATTAAAGGCTAGCGAGTATTCGGTCCTGAGGATGAAAGATAAGAGAGAAAGCGTTAAGCTGTATTACCCTTCCGGTGCCTAGCTGCCATGCCACCCGAAGGAAGCACGAGGGCTGGGATACTGTCAGGTTGCCCAAGCCTAGACAGGGGAAGTCGAGAGGCGGAGGCCGGATTCGAACTACGGACCTTCCGGCCAGTAAATTCGCGCACCAACCACTTGGGCCACCTCGCCCCCGCTACTGAGGATAAGCTTTCCAGAGAGGGGAAACTAGAGCAGTGGTCGAAAGTGTACCACAAACATATTTCGACAAAATATTCTGACAAACATCATTGACAAGAACCTCTCAAAATTCTACAAATAAAAAAGGCAATCAGAATACACGGGCTGGTAAATGGATTCGTAACTATAAAAAAAACAGCAAACTGTGAACACGTGCGACCGAAACGGTTGTTACATTGACAACAGCCAGTGTCTCCGACCTGGAGTAGTCAGTGCTGATCAGCTACAACTAGGTGTTACTTCTTCGCATGCACAAACGGATTTACTGCCCAGTTGAGATCTTGTGTAGGAGAATTGGCTCTTTGGTGTGTTTTCGGTCGTGTTCGGAACAATCCACGCTGCAGTTATATTCTTTTATCGGCTAGTCACAACTGTCTAGTGGAAAAGTTTCCACGCTCTGCGAATGCCGTTGCTAGCACCAAACTACGTAATTCCTTTATCATGCCTCTTGTCTACTCTGTTAGTATAACATATTAACACTCTTCAGCAGCAATTCCTATTATCAGAAAATTATTCATGGTCGTCGTGAAGATCTTTCGGGCACTCGATAACTTGTGCTTGGTTTTACAGCCAGCTGTTAGTAGGCAACTGGGTCATCCGTTTTTACATAAGGCCACACTCAGTTGCGTTCTTGGTCATTGACAAGTTGATGTCGGCTGTTGGTGTGAAGTTAACCGCGAAAACAAGTCCAAAGAATGGTTTCTCACCAGCTGGAATGCAAGCTCTGGACACTGTCAATAATGAACACGTGCATAATCAATATCAGAGACAGCGGCATTGGTGCCGACACTGATGCTTCACTGCCGTAAAACCACAAGGTCTATCTAATTATATTTGATGCCTTAGGGTAAAAGAAGAGAAAAGAGTAGACGATGGAATGGACCTGGTGCTGGCCTAACGTGAACATATCCGCTCTTGCTTGGTAAGCTAAGTGGCAATCATCTTTATTAATCAGGTGGCTGTTGGTTGTTCAATTAACTTTCAAACATGGCGTCACCAAACGAGATATAATCAATGCGCGGCTGGAAGGATGGTAGTGCTAAGCGGACCCCTGAAGTGGGATGAGCATTATCTGAAAACGTTTTGAAACTTCATTCAATGGCTTGCCGACGATGTTGACTATGGGGTTATGAATGTTATACCGACGGTACATGTGTGGGACCAGCGCGTAGTTCATTTCCACCAGGGCCGAACTGTGACTTCTAAAATATCAGCTTCTTTCGCTTCATAAGCACCGCTCTCCAGTCAGTTTGACTGCTGTCAAACAAAACGAAAGATGATTTCGGATTGCAGTGGGAGTACAACCGAACCACATATTAGACACCCTACTAAATCCTCGGAAATACAGTGAGGCTTCTGGAAAAAGTGCAAAGTCATGATCCACTCCATATTATGAGTAAGTGGTTTCTTTCGGTGTCCTGTTATCCTTGAACATGTTCCATATCAGTTCCTCTTGAATGGATCAACTATAGGTTAACTATAGGTTATTTCGGATTAGGAAGAAAAATGTAGCTTTTGTTGACCTGTAGTGTCTTGCTCTGTGGTACCCTTACGATCCGTAAAGTAATCCATCTAATCAAACTAGCAGCTATTGGTCACGGTGGAAAGTGAGGTAAAAGGCTTGCATGTAAGTATTGAGTTTCCCTGATCCAATTGATAAGTACAACGACAAAAGAGCCAGTGAGGTGTTGACATTTAGTTCACACGCGAACACTGTCTGGTTATCACGACACTGTCCCCATCCCACCCCTGTGCTGCATGACTATGCGTTTCCTTCAGGGGGCGTTTACCTACATGTGTATGTTAAAGTTGGTAACCGACGGGAGTGAAAAGCACGTCTTCTTGCGCTGTTAAACAGGGCGTCAGGTTACAGACGCACATCTCAATAAGTGGACAGTTTCCCAATTACCTATGAGTGCCTCTATCTGTTTGAGTAAAAATCGAAAAATCAAACCGCCAATACTAGTCCGATCGTTGGATACCTGCAACGTGACATCCACCTTAACTCACAAAAACATAAGCGGAGTTACCTTTGCGCCAAGTCTACTCCACACAGAACCAAGCTCGACACCGATCACGCCAGCTCCAATGACGACGAGATGTTCAGGCACCTTTGGTAGGGATAACGCACCAGTACTGGAAACGATTGTTTGTTCATCAATATCGACTCCGGGGAACGGAGTTACCTCACTCCCAGAAGCAATCAGAATACGATCTGTCTGGATCGTCTCTTCACCCCCATCTGTCTTTTTCACCAAAACCTCATTCGGACCGGAAATGGAACCAAAGCCCCTCACATGTTCCACCTGCAGGGCAGAAACATAAGGTTAATGTAGACTCTCAAAAGTCAAGAGTAGGATGACAGTAATAATCTAATTACAGGTGTGCCAGGTTTTCTACAAAGCCATTCCATGAGCATGCTTTCTGCTTGAAGAGAAAAACTTAATTCTGGAAGCTGAACACGGAAAGGCGACTCCGAGTACAAATGGAGTGAAAATCAAGCTGACTGAATTTAAGAGAAACCTCAGCAGATGTGAAAATGGTAGAGTAACACATTTCGGCCGTCATGGACGACCAGTATCGGCGAGTGATACCAATAACTACATCATTGCTTCACTGTCATCAAATAAGGAAGAATTATTTTCAAAACCCCTCAGTTGGTTACAAAGATGTGGACATCTGGGAGACCTAGAGCTAGTTTACTGAGGCGTTGTGCCCACATTTCGTTTAAACCGTCTGGATGAAAGCTGGACGGAATACCGTCGTCATATCTTGCAACGTATGGAGCCCATTCTGTGGAGTACAAATGTCTCATCGTGGAAGGCGGGTCAGAAAACAACATCTAATCTCCTCGTGAATTCAATCAAAACGCCAATCTACCAGGCCATACGTAGTTTACAAACAGTTCGCCCTACTCTTTAAAAGCCGGACATGGAAAACGGAAAAGTCCCAATGAATGATGGTTCGGCATACATAAAAATATCCCGTTCACCATAATCAGTGATGTTGACCCCGACCTAAAGCTGCCACCTTGACGTGGTGGTCGGGCTTCAGTGCTGCAATGATCCCGCGGGCTACACTGGCTGGAACTTCGTTCCACAAGGTGCAACCATGCCAGGAAGGCCAAAGGGGAGCAACCAGACCAAGAGCAGCCAGACTCCGTACTACGTGCAATCGTGCTACCAGGCGGTCTGGGGGTAAACTACACTGGCACTTCGTTCCACAAGGTGCAACCATGCCAGGAAGGCCAAAGGGGAGCAACCAGACCAAGAGCAGCCAGACTCCGTACTACCTACGTTCGTGCTACCAGGCGGTCTGGGGGTAAAATCGTACTGTCCTCTGCGACAGGAGTGTGAAGGCAGTAAGGCGTTCCCCCAGGCGACCAGCATGTCCATATTTATGGAAGCAGCGATGCTGCCTTCCCCCGAGGAAGGACGGGTTAGAAAAGGTCGGCCCCAAAAACCGCACACTCCGATCGCCCAACGGTTGACCGTGACCGCCGGCGCATTATCC